TGGATGTCAGTGGGTGGATGTCAGTGGGTGGATAAAAACTTGATGTCTTCTTCACGTTGTCATGGAAACAGGTGTCTCCTTGTTTTTGATTCATGTGTGTTGGTGCAGGAGGTTGATCAAGGAGATGGAGGCGAAGCAGCAGAGTGAGAAGGCGGAGCTTGAGCTCCTCCAGCAGGAGGTAGAGAGCCAACGCAAAGAGTCTGAGGAGGTGCAGCAGCGAATTCTCCGTCAGGAGGAGAGCCTCCGCCGCCGTAGCCATGACATCGAGAGCCGTCTGCGTGACTTCCTGGCCGAGAAGGAGCGCTTTGAGGAGGAGAGGCGCTCTGAGATCCAGGGGGAGGACCTCCTGCAGCAGCGGTGGAACCAGCAGCTGGCGGGTGACGCTGTGGAAGAGCGGGACGAGGAGCAGCGGATGCAGCAGGAGGCTGCAGAGCAGACGGAAATCTATCGTGAGCTGACGAGGCTGAAGAAAGAGCGCGAGGAGCAGAAGGTTCGTCTGGAGGCTGAGCAGCGGCGGCTGGAGGAGCAGGAGCGGGAGCAGCTGAGCCTGGTGGGCAGGCTGGAGGAGCAGCTGAGGGAGAAACACGAGGCAGCCACCACGCTGTTGACCCGGGAGGACGCCGACCGCCTCGAGGAGGGGCGCAGAGCATTGGCCGAAATTAGAGGAGCGCTCCTCCGAGCCAAAGAGGCTGGAGAGCGGCAGGATGTGGATGATGCCGAAGAGGAGGCCCGATCTGCTCAGAGTCGATACACGGACTTCAAGGTGGCTCAGGTGAAGGAGCTGGGTCAGCTGGAGGAGGGGCTCCGGCAGCAGAAGGAGCATCTGGAGAAGGAGGTCGCCGCTGAGAGAAACACAATGCTGCTCCTCGCTCATGGCCTCAAAGAAAGACAGCAGCAGCTGAAGGAGATGCAGGAGAAGGGGGCGCAGGACGCCACGGCGGTCTGCCAGGAGGAGCAACTGGTGAAGCAGGCGGAACACAGGCTGCAGCTCAAGGAGCGGCAGCTGACCAGCCTTGCCGACGACCTCCTCCCCGCGCTGGCCGAGGAGAAGCAGAGAGCCATGGAGGTGTTGGAGCGCAGCACCGGCAGCAACGGGAACTGCAACAATCCACCGGGACTGGACAACACACTGTACCAGGTGGAGAAGGAGCTGGAGGACAAGGAGGAAAAGCTGAACCTCCACTGGCACAGTGCTCAGCAGCTGCAGCAGCTCCAGGAAACCTATGAGTTCACAGCCAACGTGGCCCGGCAGGAGGAGAAGGTGAGGAGGAAGGAGAAGGAGATCCTGGAGTCGAAAGAGAAGCAGCAGAGGGAGGCGATGGAGCAGGCAGTGGCCCGGCTGGAGAGGCGGCACTCGGCCCTGAGGCGCAGCGTCTCCCCGGAGCCCGACACAGAGGAGCAGAGGCTCAAGAGCTCGGTCCAGAGGAACCTGAGGGGGGCGGAGCTGGACCAGCAGAGGTCAGAGCATCACATGACGCGGTGACAGATGGTTCATTTAAATGTGATTATAATTAATGAGGTCATTTCCTGGAGTGTAGATTGTAATGTAGAAGGTAAAAAGTCAGTGGGAGAAGTTTTGCTCCTGAAACACGAACATGTGTGAACGTAAAGAGCCTCGTTCACACGTCTTTACTAAGCAGGTCAAGTGAGAGCACGTTGACCAATCAGAGCAGCTCTGCTCGCTCACGCTCGTCTTCTCTTTCTTGTCAGGGTGGAGTGGGAGATCCGGAAGCTGAGGCAGGGGATCAGCGAAGGAGAAGAAAACAGCAGGACTCACTCGATCAGTAACGAGGAGAAGACGAGTCACGGCGGCTCTCCGGTCAGTCACATCCAGAGTCTGCACACGCTGCTGCCGCTGTCCGACGACAGGTGAGACGCTCGGATGCATTTAGCTTGAATAGACGAGGTGAGACTGAGTCATGATGAAGAGCTGCGGATTATTACTGTAAAAAGATCAAATCCTGATCTTTCATCTGTCATTTATGTTCACAGAGCTGAAGGAGGTTGTGTTTACATTGACTGACAGGTGACAAATGTTCTGTTTGAATTCTGCACCGAGCCACGAACACGTTGTCAGTTTCTGCTCAATCCAGATTATAATTTGGTGAAAACAATTTTCTAAAGCTTTCTACTGTAGCGCCACCACCAGGACTGTTGGCATAGTTCACGTGTTCTTTATAATTAGGATCTTGATCTTTTCTCTGAAATGTCTGAATAATTAGCAGGAAATTGGCTGTAAAATGTTGGACCTTCAAAATAAAGCGTTGCTGTTCCTGTAACTGGTTCGGTGGGAAATACTTTAGTTTTGTTTTTGATGTTGGTTCTGGTCGTCTTCCTTTGTTCCAGGATCAACGCCTACATCGAGGAGGAAGTGCAACGAAGGTTACGTAAGATGAACTTCCTGAACGGCGGCGGCGAGCTGGATCTGTCCGAGTCCTGTGAATCTCTCAGGGTGAGAATTGTCCCTCTCTCTTTATTTCATCCTCACACAGAAGATGAGTCGTTCATTAGTTTTGATAAGTGATGAGACGTTTCATCATCAGCTTTCAAGATGACTTCCAGCTTCTCAAATGTGTGAATATTGTGTTTTTATGTTTTTGTAAGTTTACCATGTTTTGAAAAGTTGCTGAAGACGTCAGGAAGTTTATCGCTGTTTTTTAACTTTGACCAAATTGATGGATTAGCAGATCAGATGAAAGTGTTTTGACTTTAGCCCTCTGACTCATGTTTAGCTCTTTAACCCGCAGGACGAGGAGGAAGTTAGTGACTGTAGCTCTGTTAGATTAACAGACCAGGTAAGACCAGGATCCTCCTCACGTCACAATCACACTTTGTAATCTGCATGATTTCCCTCAGTGTGACGACGGATCCACTTTCAGTCACTTTGGTTTCACTCCTAGTTTTTCATTTATGCTGCGTCTCTTTAATTTCTCCCTTTGTCCTGTTGTTATGATTCAGAATCTTAAACTTTTGATTTTGTTATTTTGCAAATGAAGAATATTTCGTTTATATTCACTGATCATCAGTTGATGCAAAGTTTTATTCTCTTTAGGATGATGAAAAGCTGCAAAACATGAATCCAAGGAGGCTGAAATATGAGGTAAGACCAGTATCTTGTTTTGTTTTGGGGATGAATTACAATCCAATAATTAATGGTCAAATAATCAATGATCCTGTTGTCGACAGGAGTTAAACATCGTCCACTGGATTAACTTGAATTCCTCATTCCTTATAATTAGAAATGAAATTTCATTGTAAAGGAAAAATGTGAATGAGTTTCCATTTTAAATCTTCAGAGCTGCCAACTCACAGAGACACGTTTTGTTTTGTAATCGCAGACACTGATTTCACTCACCCAGTTTGGTTTGGGCTTTTATTTTGACAGCACAATGCAGAGTTCCATATCGGATTGATTGAGCTTGTTTGGCAGCTCTGGGTGTTTCTGTCGGACACTGCTGGTTATTCTCATGAATAACAGTTATCAGGAAACTCATTCTCTGCCTGAGGATGGTAACAAACCATTGCATGGAAAATAACCTCATAGAAAATAAAACATCTTGAAATTTCTGCTCACAGTCCATTTTTAAAAACATGAAATCAAACATGGGTAAAAAAGTATTTGCTATTTTCTTGTTTTTCTTGTGAAGTTCAGTGTGAGATAGTAAACTTTCGGTCAGAACCTTAAAAGTTCAGGAATCCTGTGATCATGAGAACCTTTTTCAAATTCTACTTTACCCACGTTTGATTCATTTAAAGATTTCAAAAAGCTTTTGAAAGTATAACTTTTTACCTAATTTGCATGTTAAACCTCTTCACACTTAATTTTGAATCACTCACCATCCACCTGAGCACCTGGTGAGCAGCATCTGTAATTCTCATTGGGGTGAATTATGGACTTAATTCAAAGAACCATCACGTTCCTCCTGACGATGTAGTCACGGACTCCCCCTTGTGCACACAGAGAACCAGCAGGTTGGGGTCTAGCTTCCTGTTGGCAACGGAGCTTGAAGCAAACTCTCCTGCTAAGATCGAGCAAAACGCTTCAGAAGAACCAGAAAATGTCCCGTTAGAGCGTCACAGAGAAGAAAAAGTAGTTTCCACTGCTGAAGTCTTGATTGAAAAAGAAGAAAGGTCCAAAGATGCAGGCAGAAACACGGGGTGGAAACCAGCAGTGAATATTCCTGTTGACGTTTGCAGAGCTGTTTATAGATTTGTTGAAAACGAGAACAGCGAAGCGGAGTTGGTCGTGAATCGAAGCTCTTATTCAAACTCAATAGAAAAAGTCAAACGCCAAACATGCGACCTTGGGAAAGATGAAGATGCAGAACATGATCAGTCAAAGTCACGGAACTCGAAGGAGCAGTGGAAGGAATGTGGTCAAACAAAACGAGAGACAGACGATGAGAAGGTGGAGACAAACAGAAGCTACGATTTTGGATATTTTGTCAGAAAACTGTCCGACGCCTACAAAGATGCAGGCAGAAGGTTACAGGACACACGGGACATCGTTCGAAAAGTGGGAGTCGAGGAAATTAAGGTTGTTCTCTCTCAGTACGTGACCATGGTTTCCAAAGAACTGCCACTGCTTCAGCCACAGCCACAATCCTCCATGCAGTCACTCACCAAAGTCGGTTTGGTTGATCTGTCGAGGGACTGCGCTCGTTACCTTCCTCAGAAAACTTCTGTGATCATGGACATCTCAAGATGGCCGGATGGATCTGTGTCTTCTTTCAAAGACAGAAGTCCTGAAGCGTTTCATCAGAGGCTGGTCGAGCTGCCTTCAGTTCTCTCCCAGCTGCAGACATGTTCATCACAGGAGATGCTAGAAAAGTTGGAATCTCTGTCGCCTCAAATCCAAGTTGGCAAACTTCTGAGCATCTTCTGGGTAAAAACAGCCAAGAGTAAGGAACCCGTCCCGAAGCCTGGCTGCTTGCTTTTGTCAGAAAAGGACATGAGGGTATTCTCAGCAGGCTCAGATCCTCAGGACACTTTGGTTCTTTTTCACCATGTTCATCTCCTGGAAATCAAGAAGGTCCAGATTAGTTTGGCAGGACAGCATGTCCGCCTAATCGGCTGCTCTGAAGGTGACGTCTTGGCCGTCTTCACCCACAGCAAAGAGCTTACCCAGGAGTTCTGTAAGGCTTTATTGAAGGCTGTCGCTCCTGAAAGGTTCTCTGAAGGGATTCAAAGTCACCCGTTACTCTCTGATGACCTCACACTCCTCTCGCTGGACTGGACATCAACTGTTCCTGACATCATCCTGGACAACGGCCTTCAGGTCACCTCCAGGTTCAAGCGGGTTCTCGCCGACTTACTCTACATTGTCCATGGGAATATGGACGGCCCTGGCAAACCTTCTCTGGCGGATGTTTGTCCTCTCCTCTACACCAGTGTCAAGGTCATGAACTCCACCCGGGTCCACCAGGACACCATCTTTCAGCTCCTCTTGACCGACACTCACGTAGTTCTTCTCCGGGAGGACGGCGTCTTTCACCCAGTGCCGCGGGGCTCCAGCCTGGTTCCTGCGCAGCCACAGTTTCAGGGACTTGAACTCCACAAGCGCTCAGATGTCAGACGCCTGATAGTGAGTCAGCAGGACGGCTGCCTGGTGGTCGACATTGTGTTTACAAGTGGAGAACAGAGGGTGGCGTCACGGCTCGGCTCAGTTGAAGCGTCCTCCACCTCTGATTACACTCGTCAGTGCCACTCCTGGAAGTTCTGCTTCGGTTGTAGCTCAGAAGCCGAGATCTTTATTAATCATCTTTGTACCTGAGTCACCGGAGCTCATGTTTCTTTTTCTGAACCAAATGATCCGACACCTCGTTTATTTTATGATGTCAAATCTGTCAAATCAACAACAAAGACAAGTCTTCAAAATGTAAACATTTGACGGTTTCTGTAACGTGAGTTCAGACGTGTGTTAACCTCTGAATGAAAACACTGAACCAAGAAGCTCTTTGTATTCATGGAAGTTAAATGTCTGTTAATTCCTTTTATTCTTTTTGACGATTCTTCTAGATTTTTGATCTTCGGAACTTTGCTGCATTTTTAAGAGAAAACATTTTGGTGATTTGAAGTAAATGTGACTCGTCATGTTTGTAAATGATCTGATTATTGAAGTTGAATTAATCAACCATGTCACTGATTAAGTGTAAACAGGATAATAAAGATTGAACTTTAATTCTCTGTTTTATTTTGAAAATCATTCTGCTTTCTGCTAAAATCACGTTCAGAAATGAATTTACGTCAACCCTCTGCTCTTCACCTCTTTCTTCCTGTTGTTTTTTTTTTTCTTGTTCTTCTTCCTTTGCAGCACTTGGTCTCCCGTCCTCTCGGGTCGAGCGCCGACAGCCTCCAGGAGCCCGTCAAAATTAGCATTCCACGTTACGTTCTCCGCGGGCAGGGGAAGGACGAGCACTTTGAGTTCGAGGTGAAGGTGAGAAAACCTCGTACCTTTTTACTCGGCTACATTTCTCAGACAGCTTTAGTTACGTGTTAGATTTCTGATGATAACATTTTAAATGTTCTAACAAACCGACAGATCAAACGTCCAGGAAGCTTTTCCACACAGGATGAAATACCATGTGTGGCTGCAGAGGGCGCTGCTGCTCAGTAAAAGTTTAAAGTAAAAATTATTAGTTGGACGGTGGAAAAAAACCAAATTGAATTTATGGTTTGAATTTAAAAAGTCCCTGATCGTCATCTGACCTCAACTCGTCACAGCTCCAGTGTTACTTCACTCTGGTGTTTGTGTGAGTTGCAGGAGTGTGGTGATAATTAAAGGTTCAGTGTGAAGGAAATTTAATTAGACCTCCATCATGACGTTTTTAATGTTCTCCTTACCTCAGAATGACTCTTGAAGTGTCTCTATTGCCCCCTGGTGTCTGGCTGCAGTATAGCTCATTATCCCTCCTCCTCCACGTTAGCAGACGGGACATGGACCAAACTAAAACCTCATGGTAGACGTTAAATAAATGTTTGTAAAGATGTTTCTGTCGTTTCAGCTCGTTCTTCTCTCTCTGATGTTTGTTCCAGTGTTTCTGATCAGTTTGGTTTAATTACTTATTGATGATGTAAAAACAGAGACGTCATGATTGACAGCTGACACTGACTCATGATTGTTCAGCAGCGTGTGTGGGCGGGGCCTCGGTACTACGGCTCCACCCCACGATCAGTACTGCACAGACTGTAAATGATGTTATCACCACGAGATGTTAGCGTAGCATGTCTTTGTTTACACTCTGATTCTCCTGCACATGTGGAAAGTTCACTTGGTTGTAACGTTCACCGTCACCACTAGATGTCAGTAAATCCTTCACACTGAACCTTTAGAGTTGTTCTCGAGGGAGAAAATACTCTTGAGTCTCGATGAGTCTAAACTCGAAGCCTCATCTCAAACACGTGTGCGTTTGAAGCTGCTAACGTGTCGAACCTTTTCAGATCAGTGTGATGGACGAGACCTGGACCGTGTTCAGACGTTACAGTCGCTTCAGAGAGATGCACCGGAGCCTCCGGACGAAGTTTCCAGAGGTGAGACGCTTTTTTATACATTTGTACAAACACAGGACGAATTCTACACAATCAGATTTTACATAAACGCACATTAAAGATAAATAAGTAAAGCAAATATAAAACAGCATAAAAAATATGATGAAACATTTAATCTTTGGAGCAAATCACAGGCTGATCAGTTTGTTTTTCAGTATTGATGTGATTCCATCTCTTGTTTTAATGATGACGCTTATTTCTGTCACTTCTGCTCTCAGCTGGCGGCTCTCGAGTTCCCTCCGAAGAAACTGTTTGGAAACAGAGACGAGCGGATGATCGCTGAACGCCGCAACCACTTGGAGGCAGGATTTCAATAAAACTTAATTTACACATAAAAGAAGGACAAATCAGATTTTATACTTTCTGCAGCTTTCAACAAGTTAAATCTTCGACTTTCAAAGGAAATGAAAGATCAGTGAATATCAAATATCCTCATAATAATAACAGGAGCTGAGATCAGTTCTGACCGAGACGATCAGCGCCATGTTTGTAGTTTTAATATCTAATATCACTGAGAACACATAAACTATAATGGACCACATTTATACACGGGTGGATTCAAGCTGCTGTTCAGGGACATTAAAACAGCACAGACGGAAAATTAAAAGAAGATTTTAATCTGAAAACATTTTTTTAAAGGAGAAAACAGATAAACAGGTTGAGTTAAAGGCATTTGTGAATAAAAAGTGAATACATTAAAAACCGAGCTCATAATATTTAATCGTCTCCAAAACTGAGAGAAATAAACTCGTGTGTCTCTTTGTGCTGTTTCTTTTCCAGCGTTATCTGAGGAGCTTGTTCCGAGTGATGCTGTCGTCGCTCAGCTCTCCTCTCAGAACCGACGCCGACAGCGGTTTCTATCTGTCCAAACACGCCATCTGTGACTTCTCACCGTTCTTCAAGAAGGGCGTGTTTGAGTACAGCAGCCACGGCACCGGCTGAGTCCGAGCCGACCCCCCACCAGCTCCTCCAAACTCCCACAGCGTCATCTCCCCCGATGGTGCAGGACGGAGAAGTTCAGGTCAGTTTCCTCTCCTCTGTCCTGACACGCTGCTCAGCTCAATGTCGTCATGGAGACGCTCAGAACTTCAACGCTCTGTTTCAAGAGTCCCAGCTCGACGTGACACAAAGCATCAATATCAGTTAGAATCATCCTGTACCTTCCTTCAACTGCCGCGGTCGAGGGTTCAATTCCCTTCACTGCTGCTGAAACCATCAGGTCCGACAGAGAAAAGAAAACGAGTTTGTCTTCAGAGTCAATTTTTATAAGAGAAACCCCAATTTTAAATTTGAACGTGTCTGATGTTTCAGAGACATTTCCTGTTTTCAGCTGAAGAGGATGAGGGGGCGGGGTCTAAATGGATGTTTTCAGTCGGTAAACAGAGGAAGTGTTCGGGGGGGAAGACGTCAGTGGAACCGTGATCAGCTGATTCCTTCTTTCCATCAGACGACAACGTCGAAACAAGATTCCAACATTTCACGAATGTTACGTCCTCTGATGTTGAGACCTGAGCGGACGTGAAAACTACAAACGTGCTGAATATTAGCGTCACATGAGACTGAGTGTAAATACAATGTGAATACTCATGTGAAATTTTTTCTATACGCTTGTGTACGATGTAAAGTGTTGAGTCTTAATGTCGGTAAAGGGAACGAGTGTTTATGTCCAGAACGACTGCAGCTACTGCTTAGCTTAGCATAAACGGGGGCAATCAGCTAGCCTAGCTTTATGTAGTGAAACCAAAGCAGAAGTGTCTGAAACCTGTCTTCTGTGTAGTGACCAGCAGGGGGCGACTCTACTGGGTTCTATAGCTTCTATATAACTTTCAGGGCTTCTTTAACAAAATCAACAAACAAGTTAAACTCACTGTCTTTAAATGTAAAAGTCGTATTTATTGGCTCATAATTCTCAAAGTGGAGTGTTTCCGGTTGAAGCCTCCAGGGGGAGCTGCTGACTGGGAACCTGGACGACTTCAGGTCAGTGTTTGAGGTCGGTCTGTTCAGATCTGCTTCACCGGCCTGAAGGGGAAGTCGTGTAGAGGGACACCCAGCGCCTGGAGCCTGTCGCTGCAGGTCTGCAGCAGCTGCTCGTACTCCTGCAGGTCACATGTTCAGTGTGTCACCACAGGAAGTGACTTACTCCACAGCCTCAGTTTGACGAGTTCACTGACGACTCACCTGACGCGCTCCAGCCAGGTCCTCCTCTAACGCACCAATGGTGACGTGTTTTGACTCGAACAGTTCCTACGAGCAGAAGAAGAAGAATTCAGACTGAAGACAAATCACAAGTGACGTCTTCAGAGGACACAACACTAGTGGAGATCGTCTCCAGATTCAACTTCAAGAGGCAGTTTCATGTTTTCTGTTATGTAAGAGTTTTGTTTCAGGAGAACATGTTTCTGAACCTTCACTTTGTTTGCGGCGCTGCTTCCTGCGGCGTCCGTGGCGGCGCAGAGCTGAGCCTCCTTTGTCTCCACAGTTTGAGTCAGAGCAGCGAGCTTCCTCTCCAGCAGCAGCTGCTTCAGTCCGCTCCTCTGCTGCAGCTCCATGATGACGTCCCTCTGTTTCCTCAGCAACTCGTCACGCTCCTTCTGAACCTGCCGACAACCAGGACCCAGCGTCAACTCCTGCCGCCGCGCTGAGGGGACGTCACGTGACAAACACACGTTACCTTTTCAAACGCCTGCAGCAGCAGCTCGTGCTCAATGGTCAGATCCCTCAGCTCCTTCTCAGCGACCTTCACACGAGCACCGGACTTCTGTCCCACCATCAGATGATCAGAGGAAAACGAGATGTTAGTTTACTTTTCAATACAACAAAGAATGTGACGGAGGTTCAGTTTCTATTAAAAACCATGTAACCTCCACCAGGGAGGTTATGTTTCCACCCCGTGTGTTTGTTGAATTGGTTCGTCAGCAGGATGAACGGCTGTAAACTCGGTGGAACGTGAGGGAAGCGAGAACTTGTTACATTTCTGAACTTGGTTGTTGAATAAAAGAGAAACTTTTCAGATGAACTGCTTCATTTTGTTTCTCAGAGCCACGAGTCGTCAGCAGCTTGAAACGAACCAGAATCATCGATTTAAAAACCAACGTCACTACACGTCGACACGGAGAACGCTGTCAGGGGAACAAAGATAACTGAGTTGTGATGCGTTCAGGGTCAGATCAGGTCGTGTGCTGTGAACGCACCACCATCTCGGCCTTGTTCCGGTTGTATTGGTGCAGCTGCTGCTTGAGCTCGGGCAGCTTCCGCTCGGCTTCGTGCACAGACTCACGCAGACGCTTGTTTTCTTGCTGAGAAGCTGAAAGCTGCTTGTCCACTCGCGTCAGCTGCTTCTGCACCTCTGCTGCTTCCTCCTGGACAAAGACAGAAGCACCACATGAAACCAAATGAACGTCTGAATGTTTAAAGTCAAAACTAAGAAAAAAAACTGTTCATCAATTACTTTAGATGATAAATGATTAAAGTTACATTAGATAATCACTGCGACCTTTGACCTCTGGCCACTCAAACCGAATTGTCTCCCACCTTCAGCACCTTCTCGTCCGCCAGCACTTTGTTCTGAATGCTGGAGTAATACTCCTCAGCTCGTCTGAGAGCACGGTCGTGATCCTCCATCAGCGCCACAACTCGAGCGTTCATCCTGTCCTCCAGCTCGGTCACCTCCGACCTCCGCTTCCTTTCCTCCACCTCGATGGTCGCCTGCATCCTCTCGTGACATTTCACTTCCAGTTCTATTGAAATGACAGAAGAGGAATGAGAGTTCAGCAGTTAGTGAACGTTGGTTAAAGTGATGCACGTAAAAAAATAAAAGCCTAAACCTTCAGAATAAAAGAAGAATGAATGAGCTGAATCATTAAGAACAGTAGTTTTCATGTTACACCACTTTTTCATTCATCAGGCTGCGTCTATGACCACGTGTGTCAGAAATATAAGTTCTTCATTTTTAAACAACTGTAAAGTAAGATATTCATAAACTTAAATTA